CCCTGCCGGCGGGGAGGCCCCGCCAAACTTCATCCCCCGGGCTGCCTGAGCGGCGAGTCTCCGACGCCCGGTGTTTCGTTCTCTCTGGCCTAGCCTGGGCCGCCGGCTCTGGAAGACAGAGAAGGCAAACTTCCCATCTGCCCCCCAAGACAGATGGCGACGGAACGGGGTTGGGGAGAGGGGGGGGGGTTCGTCCGAACTCTTCGGGGCGGAGGAGATTGAGGGACACGTAATTTGCAATGAGCGAGGGTCGGTTCCTTTAGCACTTGGTGCGGCACAGCCTGGTGTTTCCTTGGCATTTCTTCCCAGAGCAGGAAATGGGGATCCCGGCGTCCTTTGGTTCTTCCCTTACCCTCTTCCAGACGCCCTACCTTCCTTGCTATTCACTCACCACCTTCCTACCTTGGCACACCCTAATGTACCCACCCTGTTCTCTCAAATCCGGTAGCCTCTCCTGCCCTTTCCCGAGACCCCCACCCCCACCCGGCCCAACCTTTCCCTCATTAACCAGTGCACTCCAGTAACCTCCAGACCAGGCAGCCTCTGGCTTCTTAACCACGTTTGCTTTCTTTTTGAGAATTTCTGAAGCTGGGAGGGTGTGGGGGTGGGGTGGGGGTTGGAGTGGCTCCGCTCCTGGCTGTGTGTCTGCGGTTAAAAGAAAAGGGTGGTTGTTGGTAGCGGATGAATGCAAGTCTGCGTCAAACTCTGGTCAGGGGTGCTCAGCAGTTGACTGGGACTGGGACAGCCACCCTTTCTGGCTGCTAGAAGAGAGCTGAGCCGGGACCCCTCTGGTGCTATCCAGTGGTGGTGGTGTCAATTCTGGGATTGGGAACTACCCCCTAGGGTTTCCAAAACTAATCTTTATGGGAGCAGAGTGCCGGGGGGTCTTGCGCCTGGAAGGCCACTGGGTGGGCTCCCAAGCAAAAACAAATGCTTTAAGCTGCTCCCAGAACGTTGACGACACCAGGGCTCTCAGAGGGGCCCTTCAAAGGGGAATATATAGGAACCGATGTACATGTAAAAGGCCTATGTGTGTGAGAGAGACACACACACAACATGGGGACGGCAGGGGGAGGGTGTCTCAGATTGAGCCAGAAGGGCTGCCTTTAACCCCATTGGGCTCCCTCTCAGAAATCGAATCCGTGTTCTGGCAATATCCAATAGTAGCAGGAAAGCTGAATAGGGAGCCCTCCCTCCCCTTTCTCTCCTCTCTCGGTTTGGGAGCGGGTGTCTGCTCCTTCCAAGCCTGTTAGCACCCTCCCCCACCGCCCCTCAGCACCTGCTTTCTCTTCTCATCATTGCCCTGAAGGGGAAACAAACTACTATCTGTTACCATTTAAAAATATATACATTGCCACCCAATCAATTGAGTTATTACTCCATATATCATGATTTATGTAGTTGAAATACAGGTCTAGGCATCAAGAAGATCAGGGAGTTCTTCCCAAATCGGATAGCGCAGTGGCCTTTGCGGCCTTGGGGCATCGCCACGACCTTTCTTTCCTGCTTGGTGCACTCATGTCCAAGGCATGAGACTGTGTGCAGAGTATTGAGTCTTGGTGAGGGTCTTTTGAAGATGAAAGGGGTCTATAAACCCTTGACATTATACTTCTCAAAGAACGTACTGCCTTTACCTTTTAATGGGATAGTTGATAGGCTGGGTGAGAAGTAGGAACCTAGTTTAGTCGAAGGCTTAACTTTATTGTACTTAGATTTTAAGTCTTTTTCTTTTTTTTAAACAAGTATACAACTGGATGGAAACATACATAAAACTAACATAAAGCGTATTGGTGATTATGTATGTAGTTATGATTTGAATCACTCCTAATGTATTCCAGCTTGGTGATCTGAGTCAGACGCATTTGAACAACATAACCGCTCCCACTTCTAGCCTATAGAGGGCCAGTTAGGTAGTTTCTACTGAAAAGTGACATACGTCATGTTAGGCATAGCTCTAGAAGCATGATTAGCATCGAGCCAGTGGTGAGTCAACAGTGTTTATGAAGCACCTACAATGTGCAGAGGCTTCTGCTGACTGGGCGGAAGGTCTAGACTTGGTCCAGTTTTGGGTCTCCTGCTGGTTCACAACCTATCTCCATATTTGTAACTTCCAGATTTGAACTTGGAGAGGCTGTCTATATGCAGGGCAGGGGTAGAGCGACTAGGGGCAGAAAGGGCTGATTGCTTCCTTGGACTTTCAGAGCTACTAGACTTCTCAGCATGTTGTACCTTGCAAGAAGGCCCACTTCCAGGAAGTCTTGCAGCAAATCTCAGTGACTTAGGTGCTTCACGGACATATCAACTGAACAGTGCAAACTGATTTAGGTGATTTAGTTAATCCGTTCTCTAAGGGCAGGGCAACTTGCTTCAACTTGCAGATCCTTAAGCAGTGCCAGTGGAGCCTCATGATTGCACCCCCAAAATGCTGGAGGCAGTGAGCCTGTCCATCCCTTCCGCCCTCCTCCCATAAAATCTGCAGACACCACAACAATGTCTAAGGAAGGACTAAAGGGGAGTCAGTCTTTACCAGTCAGAAAACCTCATGGGCTGGGTGAAGAGAAGAGAATGTCTTTATATCTCCTCTCGCTGCCATTGAGTCAATGATAATTCATAGAGGCCCTCTAGGCCAGGGTAGAACTACCTTTGTGCGTTTGGGACTGTGATGCTTTATAGGAGTAGAAAGCCTTATTTTTTCTGTCGCGGAGCTGCGGTTTTCCAACTACTAACCTTCAGCCCTAAAATGGAGGCAAAACCAAGGCGGAAGCAAGGAATGTGTCTCAAATGGCTATTCTTTGGAGGTATTTGTTGGCAGTGGGGTGTGTGTGTGTGTGTGTGTGTGTGTGTGTGTGTGTAAGAGAGAGAGAGAGATTGGAAATGTGAGATGGGTGACATCTTAGCTGTTATGTTGTTGGTTTCTGACGTTATTTGATTCTGTTGCTAGTGGAGGCTAGGGAATGCTTCATCTCTGTTTAGCATGGTTGGTTTTTGTCCTTTCTTCTCTGCAAAGGGAAAAGGAGGCCCTGTGCTTGCAAAACACCTGTCTATTTAAGCTGGATGTTTTGACTTAAAGCATGGCCTCATCAAACTATAGGGTATAACATGTTGATACCAGATGTACAGCCGTTCAGGGGCATTCAACACTGTTCACTTTTTTGATGAGTGACATTTTGGTACCAAGATGGTGTTGCTCCTAATGTATTTCAGGTCTCACAACAATACTGGTTCTGCCTAAATGGGTTAGTTGGCTAAGCCTCATTTGTGAGAGCTGCCCTACTCGAGTTCTTGTGTCCCTACAGCCTGACCGGCTGACCTTGGACTTTGTCTCAGTCTTTTCCCCTACAAGTCAGACTTCTCTGGTTCATGAACCATTCCTCGGTCTCTGGATCCTTCCCTTTACAGGGACCAGATGGTCTGATAACTAGTCCATTATATAACCTAAAATCCCTTTGAAACCTACAACCCTAGTGTTTATCATTTTCCCCATAGGAGCTTAAGGCATGGCCAAGGTCAACAATGTTAATGCAGGCTAGTGAAGTGTCTGAATGTATACAACCCTGAGATGGGAAGATGGTTTACAATGCAGACCCCTCATTGTTTTGTCCATGGCCCTTTGTTCAGCGCTGCTAGAATCCTTGCAGTTCCTTGCCTAGAAGCTTGATTATCAAGTAGTCCTCCTCTGTTCTCTGTCCCTTGTTTTTGACCTGACCTTGAGGGCCTCTGGGCCTAATATTCCACAGCATGCCCTACATCCACATACTGCCTATTGTATTATGTAGAAGAAACGACAGCCTGCCAGGTGTGCCATAGAACATGTAGAAATATACAAATGTTCCAAAGGATGGCAGAGGTTGGGAAAAGCAGTCCCAACCGAGAGGGAAAACTGTACAGGTGGCAGTAGGTAAATCAAAGTTTTTCCCATTTGTTTCCCCAACCTTGCAACAGCCAGTGAAATCTGCATTCAGGTAA